ATATGCAATATTACAATTATCTTGGCAATGTATTTTTATTTTTTTTTTAGCATTTGTTTTGCATCTCTGTTTTGTTTGTTTATTCAGTTGGTTAGTTAAAATATTCCATTCTTAGCACAATTACAGTGGAACATCACTCAGTTCTCACTAACATCAAACACACTCACTGTACGGTGTGATGTGAGCCATGTCAAGATAAACAAACATGACATATTAAACAGGAAAATGACTCACTCTTATTATCCCACCAAAATAAATCAGGAAAACACTAATTATAACAACCTGTGCCTGATCCTGACTGATTCACCCCTGCTCTCTGGCTCTGTGTGTGTATCTCTGTGTGTGTGTGTGTGTGTGTGTGTGTGTGTGTGTGTGTGTGTNTGTGTGTGTGTGTGTGTGTGTGTGTGTGTGTGTGTGTGTGTGTGTATGTGTGTGTCTGTGTGTGTCTGTGTGTGTGTCACATTCTTCTCCTGCTGCTGCCTTAATAGGCAGTCTCTTAGATATTCGCTACAGAATAGCGCTCATGCAATATTAATATCACACCAAAATATGGAAGCCGGAGCCCCCACTCCATTTCTCACTCCCTACATAATTGACTATGCAAGGCTCCAAATCAGCTTGGAAAAGGAGGAAAAGACACAGAGAGACAAAGCAGGGAAGAGAGCAGGAGAGAGAGAGAGAGAGAGAGAGATGTAGAAAACCAGGAGAAAGAGACGCTGAAAGAGAGAAACAGAAGGAGTTCTGAAACGATCCTGTCATCTCTGCGTTACAGCAGATTCTGAACCTTCACCTGTGTACCACCGTCAAGGCAGTGGAGCTAAAACAACAACAACAATAACAACAACTACAACGGGAGCTCAAACAGTTTGACTCCCTGCAAAGAAAACACCGATGCTAGTCCCACCTGAGCTAAAAAAAAAAAACAACAAAAAAAACCCCTCCATTCAAACAGAGTTTAATGCATCACTTTAAACACATTTAGGCATTTCATGTGGCTGTACGGATTACTGTACTTTCATGACAGGTGACATTAAGACTTAAACAGATTAAACCAAACATGCAATCAATAGGCATAAGTTTACCTATTGAGACCCACTGATCCACCAATGTGTCAGTAATTGCAAAAACTGTTCTCTGTTTAAACCCACCTTTCAAAGCTACAGAGTTTTGCATTAAACTCTCATAAAGTAGGAGATGTGTATAAAATGATTCCCTAGATACATTTAAGATGAGCTAAGATGCGATAAAATAAAACTTTATTAGTCCCAAAGGAAATTCTTAGGCCAGATATTGCTCCAAAAATAAAAAATACAGTGCCTAATTGAATAGCAGTTAGTATAAAAACAACAAAGCCAAAATAAAACTAGAATAGAAAAAGTGAGAAGTCATAAATTTGATGCTATCTTGACCGTTGTCTTACATCACATATCCACAATATTTATTACATATGAAATGGTGTGTTGGTTTGATTTCTTTTTTTTTTTTTTTTTTTTTAAATTTAAGGTATGTAACCTTTTGAAGTTGTGGATTGCTGTTGGCATTATGCACTTATATTTTATGAGTGGGTCCTCCTTTTATCCGTTCTTCTGCACGCACATTAGCACATGTATGCAAACACACAAGCACGAGGCTGACGCAATGCACATTCCTGCCAATAGTTTCACACTATTCCACTAATCTATACGTGGTGGTTATGCGCCCAGATATGCAGCGATGTGCCAGCGAACGCAGGGGAAGAAGACGCCTGCAAGCTAGTAAGCGCACATGTAAACAAAGCAGGTTTCAGAATATTGAAAAGAATCAGCTTTGCAAATGTTTTATGATGAAGAAAATGCATTCAGCACATTTTTAACCTCAAGGATACACAATGTTTCGTGAGAAAACACTGAAACAGAAACTTTTGTTTGCTTCCAAAAATACACCCCAAACACCCCG